CTCACCGTGGTACATCCAGCTCCGTGGGTCACCCCACCATCTGCTCGGGAGGCCTCGGCACCTACGAGGCACCTGCCGTGTCCTGGAGTTTACGGCAGACAAAGCCTGTGGGCGGAGCGCCCGCGGTGAGCGTGCATCTGGACAGGGTGGGGGGACCTGAGCCACGACGGGGGAGCCGAAGGTGCCGCCTGGTGTGCGCAGCTGTGAGCCAGCTTCTGGTGCTTGCAGTGAGTGAGGGTGGGCGTCTGAAAATGCCAGACGCTCTTCGCTGCCCGTGCGTCATCTGGGTCACAAGTGCGCTGGGCGCCCACGGTCGGCGGAGAACAGAGCCCAGAGGCACGGCCCCCACCCCGGGCCTGCGAGGCTCGAGCCACATCCTCAGCTTTCTCTGAGCTCCAGCCCTGACCGGGGACCCTGCCTGGGACTAGGGAGACCGGGGACGCTGAGCTGGGCCGTGGCAGTGCTAGGTGACGCTCCCCATGATCCCCCAGGAGCTGTTCAAGAAGGTGGTGCCCTACCACTGCCTGGGCTCCATCTGGTCCCAGCGGGACAAGAAGGGCAAGGAACACCTGGCTCCCACTGTCCGCGCCACAGTCACCCAGTTCAACAGTGTGGCCAACTGCGTCATCACCACCTGCCTGGGGGACCGGACTGTGACGGCCCGGGACAGGGCCAGGGTGGTGGAGCACTGGATCGAGGTGGCCAGGGTATGCCTTGGAGGGGCCCTGGGGAACCCCTTTCTCGCCTTCATCTGCCCTCAGGGCTGTGGTCTGTGGTCCACGAGCCTGCAGAGACCCCAGCCCTCCCTTCCCAGCGGCTCGCTGGCCTTGATTCACACATCCCACTGCCTCGATGCTCACTGCCCGCTTAACGTCCTCCCTCGTGTTGAGCTCAGAGCCTCCTCCCTGGGAGTGTCATGGACGGGGGCCCAGGTGCTCGTTGGGGCTCCCTGGGAGTCTGTGTCACCCAGGATGGAAGGTCAGAGCTCAGGGGGCTGCACCCGCACCCCACGGCCCTTCTGTTCCTCTGCCAGGAGTGCCGTGTCCTCAAGAACTTCTCGTCTCTCTACGCCATCCTGTCGGCCCTGCAGAGCAACTCCATCCACAGGCTGAAGAAGACGTGGGAAGAAGTTTCCAGGTGGGGAGACCTCTCTCTGCAGGAGCTCCACCTGGAGGGACCCGGGACCCCCCAAGCGACTAAGCATTGTCCCCTCTGTGAGCCTGGGACCTGCCAGGAGGCAGCAAATCCTGAGGCCGGCCTGCCGGTTGGGGGTCCAAGTGTCCGTTGGCCTTAGGCCAGCACCTCTGCCCTGGGACTCAGTTTCCCTATCTGTCAAGCACTAGACACAGCCACATTGGAGATTTTCCTGTGTTTCCTTGCCAGCCACACCACTCTGTCCCCTTGAAATCCAAAGAGATCCAAACAGAGCCACACACGTGGAGCTCGCCTCCCCCGGCCCACAGAGCGCCCTGGGCCCAGCAGAACCCTGGGTGAAAACCACCCGTCTGGGCGGTTGGGTCCTTGGGTCCTAAATGGATGGGCACTCACACCCCTCCCTGCCATTCCCATGGTTCTCCTCCCTTCCCCCACCCAGGGACAGCTTCCGCATCTTCCAGAAGCTGTCGGAGATTTTCTCGGATGAGAACAACTACTCACTGAGCAGAGAGCTGCTCATCAAGGTAAAGTCTGGGCAGAGCAGGGAGGTTCTCGGTGGACGTTTCTTTGAAAAGTCCCAGTCCTGTCTGGGCTGGACTTTGAGGAGAGTGAGATCTTTTTGGTGCATGGGCCGGTGGGGGGTAGTTTGGGGGACCGGAGGCCCCGGTAATGGAATGGTGTGGGAGCAGCTGAGGTGTTCTACAAGGCGGGGAGCGGGGGGGGGGGGGGGGG